CTCAGGTGTACAGAGGGGGAAGGGAGTCTCAAACTCACCACCCTGGCTGCTCGCTCCTGAGATTCACATTTCCGGCAGAACCAGGGTCCTGTTGGCACCTGGACGATGCCATAGCAAGCTGGGGGTGAGGGAGAAGAATCACAAGCAAATCTATCAGCAGTGGCTTTTCCTAGAGTCACTAGGGGTAGGGAGTGACTCTGAAGGACTAGAGCCAGTTCCAGGAGGGGGGCTGCTCCCCTGCCCAGAGATCGCTCTCTAGACAGCAGGACCACAAGGAACGCCCAACAGCACACGGCCAGCTTTCAACCACACAACCGAGCATTCCAAGCAGGGATCGGAAGTCTGAGTGAGTCCTTGACCTTAAACTTCTAGCAGATCCTCCCCCCAACACCTTTTCTGTAACCAGCTCCTGCCAGGACCAGTCGTCATCATCAGGAATAGAGAAAATCAGAGAAATAACATTTACTACAGTCAAACACGTTTTGTTGTTATGGGGGGGGCATTTCTTAAAGGGCCAGTAATGGAAGAGGCAGGGAAGTTGGGGGTCCAGGGACCTCATCTTCTGCCTGTAACTATAATAGGTACAGGTCAAAAGTCAAGGCCAAGAGCAGGTGCCATGCAGGTAACCCGGAGGAGAGTGGCGGGAAGAGCCCACAGGGACAGGATTAAGGGCTGTCCCAGGAAGGGGGGGGGCAGTTGGCTACGCTAGACAGGCGGGAGATGCCAGCCTGCGCCCTCGGCAAGATTCCTCAAGGAGTTAACTCCCGAACCATGTGCTGCTGGGGGAAACTCCAAACCTCCCTCTTCTCTATTCCCGGCCCCCTGCGCAACCTCTCTCCTACCCGCAGCTCTTCCCTAGAGGATTTTAGGAGTCCCTTCTCCCCTGGGACCCTTCTCCTCCCTTCCCAATTCCGCTCCTCCCAGTATCCGGAAGCGGGAGGGGGGATGACCCCCCTTTGACCTCTCCCTCCGACAGCCAAGACCAAAATAACCAGGCGGGAGGGGACACCTCGCAGGTAAACATTCTCCTAGCAGCCCCGACACTGGTAGTGAGGGGCCGGAGAATGCACTCATTGCCCCCTAGACTGTCCCCAAACTCCCTCAACTTGGGGTGGGGGGGCGCGGGACTGGAACAATAGGCAAGAAAACAATGCCTGACCCGGTCCTCCAGGACCGGGCGGGGGGAGCCCCCACGACGCCTCCCATCCCTTCAGGTGGGGGTGGGGGAGGGGC